CACACACACACACACACACACACACACACACACACACACACACACACACACCTGCTATTCTACTGTCTTCATCTCTTAGCCACAGGTCCACAGCACAGAGATCTAATTTAAAATCTCACAGACTTAGCCACAGCAAAGGTGCCAGTCATTATCAGACCTGCCGTTTGGTGACATAGTATCTCTAGACTCTAGACCTAGATCTAGATCTAGATCTAGAATTCCGAATCTAGAATCTAGATCTATCACAAAGATACATCTTCTAAGTACATGTATAACCACCACAGAAAAGTAACTCTCACTCTCTGTAACTGTAAGCGATCGGCAACATCTCACTCAACTGTAGGTAGGCGCCAAAAGAAGATTTTGTTTATTTCCGGCGGAAGAGCAATTTTTATATAATGGAAAACGAAATACGAAATGTCTTGAACACTGCATTGAAATGACGAACGGGAAAATCGTAAACGGCCTATAGTGTTTTTTATTTTTCTATTTTTTTAAAAAGGCGAATACAACAAGCACTTACTAAATTGATATATAGAAACTTAGCTTGGTCTTTGAACTACCTTCAGTAATTTTTTCATGATTCTACTTTCCTCAGTTGCTGTTTTTTCAGCTATAGAAACTGAAGATCTACAGTGATTTTTGGCTCCTCTTCTGAACCACCGTTCCATTTTGTCAAATTCAAAGTTAAGTGGTTCGGTGGTTTTAGGCGACACACACACACACACACACACACACACACACACACACACACACACACACACACACACACACACGAGTAGATGTATCTACAGATGTGTGGAAGAAAATCACACGTTCACTTTCATTTCGGTAAGATCTAGACCTCGAAGGATTCTCTTGACCTCCTGTTGGACTGCGAGTTTCATCTGACCCACCGTTTGTGGTTGATTCTAGAGACTATGTGTGAAACCCAGGGTTGTGGTATCCATTCATTGGTCAGTTTTCCCCTCATGAGCTGACCCCCACACCTTTCTTACAGCCGGACAAGGGTCACTCTTGATGTGTGGGTTATGGCCTACATCCCTCTATCTGTCTGTCTGACCCCC